GTCTCACGATGTTGGCCAGGCTGATCTCGAACTCCTGACCTTAGCTGATCCACCTGCCCTGGACTCCCAAAGTGCTGGAATTACAGGCGTGAGCCACTGCACCCGGCCCTTGAACTGTTCTTTCTGTATTTTGAGTTTAATACCAAATTTAAAATAATGTTTATGTATAAAGCTCCATCTCACAGGTAGAAAATCTTTTTAAAACAATAATACCTTGCTTTCAAGGAAAAAAGGCTGTGATTGCTGCAACCTGTTCATTCAAAGGATAACTTTTTAAAAATGTATAATAATTCATTTCTTTTTTCCCCCACTTAGGGCCTACACACCTAGGAATTTATCAGCACCTGTATTTGCAACTTCACTTAACTTCGTGGAGAAGGAAAGAGATTTCAGAAAAATTAATCACGAAATGGCCAGCGGTGGTAATCAGAATCTAAAGGTAAGCTCCATTGAAAACTACAGTTTTTTTCAAGTATAGATAGTCTCATATTTTTACAGTAATGTTTTGGTGGTAATAGAAACCAAATTTTTGGCGATTTGAACCCTTTTTGCCTATTGTTACCAAAAGAATGATTCTTTTTATAATAAATAATCTGAGTATCTCATACAACTACATAAATATAATATTTGAAAGTCACAGAATTTATTTTGAAATCACATTTATGTGTTTTCAAAATATTTTTTAAAATAACCATTTTGTCACTTACTTCTCTTTGTATCTTCTTCCTTCGGTTGTTGGAAAAGTCCTCTTGTTGATAACATTGAAAATTTCTAAGAGACTGTGTTCAATTAGGGAGAGGAGTTTATACTGAGCATTTCCAGCTGGATCTGGAATTGTATTGAGCATTTCCAGCTGGATCTGAAACTAAGGGTCTGTAAACACTCACCCCAATCTGCCTTAGCAGCCCTTTTCCAGCCTTCCACCCTTTTTGAGGTCTTGAAATCACACAGGTTTACTTGGTGCTTCTAAATGAACTTTACTCTTGGGTTCAGGCCATTCTATCCAAATCGTACTTCTTCCTCAAAACCAAAACAAATGCTATATCCTCACTAACATTTTTCTTAACCACTCCAGCTTAAGTGATTTTTCCCTTTTGTGAGCTGTGAGAGGTATTACTGACTATGCAATTAACATGTCAGTAATAACACAGTACTTTCTTTTCTTCTTAAGGATGATTGTTGTTTAACTACTGAAGTGATGTGTCTTTTCACCCCATCTGATTGTAAACTATCTGAGAACAGGAGTTACCTCCTGTATCTCTCTGTATCTATGGTAGACCTAAATCATAATAATGATCACTATTATAATTGATCTTTAATAATTGATTATATTTAATAATTATATATAGAAAAATATCAGCAGTAGCTTCTTTTTTGGCTTACCCTTTTGTAGTTATACTCACGAGTACCATATTGCTGCTTCTCTTTTTTTTTTTTTTTTGAAATGGAGTCTT